AGCGTTTTCACTGCGTCGATGTCACGCTCGCGCACGGCGGCAAGGAGCTACATACACGATGTAAGCTGTGGCGTGTACTTGTGTGCGTCGTACCAAGGGTCGTTGGAGGAGCTCCATGATTTCGGGTTTTGGCACGAGCTTGATCAGCGCCAGGGGCGTCTCACCCGTCTAAGAAGAAGCCTAAGATCGTCGACCATGCTTTGCTCGCGTACGATGCTGGCTGTAGAACGCAGTGCGTTGGCCTTCAGCAAACGCTTGACGACCTCGACGTGCTTGTACTGGACGGCGAGATGCAGCGGCGTCGTGGGCCCCTACCCTCCATCTCAAACTGGTTTCCTGTCGAGTGATGCAATCTCTACCGCATCGACAATGGCGCTGTGCGCCAAGAGCAGGTCGACGATCTTCGCGTAACCTTGCTTGGCCGCGAGATGCAGTGGTTGCCACGAGGCCGCCTACCGAGCATCACGTAAGCGAAGCCCAAAGGTTCAGCGACGCACGGCGCTGTCGTCGGCCCCGACGCGCATGTGGACGCTGGCACGAGCTTGCAAGAGCTGGTTCGCGATGTCGACGCCATTCGACTCGACAGCGACAATCAGCGGCGTCCGACCGTCCTACACGAGGTAGCAGATTGGTCACAACTAAAGTAGAGTGCGTCGTCGACGCATACCACTGCGACGGCATCGATTTCAGCGCCGGCAGCTACAAGTAGCTCTGCAATAGCATTCTGGTTTGCCGCAGCCGCTGCGTGCAGTGCCGTGCGACCCGTCTAATACAGCAGCAAGTCCAGCGGTGAACACCAAGATGGAGGACGAACCGCGTTTCTAACGTTGACGGGGACGCCTTGTTTCAGGAGCGCGCACACTCGATTGCCGTCACCTTTGTTGACGGCAGCCCACAAACGCTTGATCACGTCGAGCTTGGCCGTTTTCAAGCATTCGGCAGCCGTGGCATGTTGATTTTGCTTCGCGAGCCCCAACGGCGTCTTGCCCGACTACGTTTCCATCGATATTGGCGATTCGCTTGACCAACGAGAGGTCCAGTGGAGCGCACCGTGGTCTTGGCAAAGATGGTCATTGGCAACGGCACACTCAGAAGCGCTTTGACAACTTGGAGCTTTCCGTTTGCAGCTGCCATATGCAGCGCCGTCTCTCCGTTCTAGGTGTCAACGACACTCGGACACGATGCAGGGATGGTATAGCACTTACCGCGTTCGTGGTCGTGGGACAGAC